GGCGGTGTAGCATTTCTTAGACTGACCGTAATTATTGCAGGCAACAGTCAACCCAAACACTGTGTAAAAATCTTTGGTTTCGTTGACAGCATCTTGGGCTAAAACTGGATTGCTGGTTATAACATCGACTGTCAAACCTTGGAGTGCCTTAATAACAGCCAGTAGACAAACGATGAGGGTTTTGCCCTCGCCGGTTTGTATTTGACACAACTGGCCTTGATTCTTCCGATCGTGGAAAAAAATCAGTATTGACAAAATTTGGGTTGAACGAAGTCGACGTCCATGTTTTAATAAATTGAAAGCTCTATCCATGACGGCAATTGCTTCACAAACAGAGTTGTCATCAGTGCCCAAATGACCTTTCTTCTTTTTCGCCCACTTATTGATAGCTTCAAGACCATTATCTTTCCACTTTTCGTACTTAGTTTTAACTAGTAACAATTTGTCTTGTATCCGTTTAAGATCAGTTTGTTCTTGTTGTGGATCGTCTTGGTCCATGTGAAAGTGAATTTGAGGCAACAAATCTTCCATCGGAGTACACTCAACTGAGGGAATTTCTTCGTTGTGTTGACCATTTTTGGCGATGTCTTCGACAAGAATGCTGATATCTTCAGGGACGAGAGAATCATCTTTTGTTCCTTCTTCTTCTGTGATTTGTTGTCCAAGCGACTTTATTTCGTTGTAATCGACACCAAGCTGTTTGTGTACCGTTTCTAGTGCTTCTGGGAATAGTTTCTCATTTTTGCAGGATTGGAGAATCAGAAAAATTTGCCGCAAGCGTTTCATTTCTTTGGAAAAATCTTCAGCAGCCTCTAGTCGATACTCCTGCGCTTTATCATCTACACGGATTTTGAAGTCTTCGGAAAACTTCATAATGTGCTCTTCTTGGAGACATTTTTTTCTGGCTTCTTCGAGTCTCTCGTGGTTTACGTCCTTTTCGTCTTTCTCGAGCTCTTCTTTCAAAATTTTGTGATAGTTGGCGACGTCACTTGCCAGTTTTCTTGGCAACTTCTTTACGAACTGTTGCAAATACGCTTTGAATTTGGCATTCTTCGACAAATGAAAAGTAAAACTGACGGCAGCATCGAATTTTTGTTTGTTGATTTCGGATCCGTTACAAAACGAAATTTCAAGAAACTCGTTAGCTATATCGCGTGGTTTCTTCTCGAAAAACTTCAACAAGATTTCCAAGTTCCTTAGACAGAGGGGTCCATATAGGAAATCTTCGTCTTCTTCGTGGTCTTGGTTCTTGTGAACAATAAATTTCACGTCTGGCACTAGATCTGTCAATGTTTTCTCAACTTCTAGAGGAAGGGAAGCACCGGACGAGTCCTTGTATAAAACTGTGCTTTCACCACCATCTTCCCATACCAGACAAAAAACAACCCAGAGATCTACCGATTTTGGCAAAACAATAAACAGCGGCCCCTCGTTTTCAGGAACGCTGAATTTCCTCACAAACTCGTCGAGACTCTTAAAAATGCGGCACTGCCCCTTGTAGTCAAAATTGCTTCTCTTCATCAAAAACTTTGACGCTTTCTTTACATCCTTCCTGTTGTAGTGTTGTATCGATATAAATTTCCATAAAATTTCTTCATTGTCGACTTCTTCTTCGAGGAACGATTTATAAGACACTCTCAAGGGTTTGGCTTTCTTGATGTTATTCAGCTGCATGTTCACTTCATTACACTCGTTAGCGAGATCTAAAATTTCCGATTTGTAAATTTTTGCTTTGCACTATTTGAAAACTCACCTCAGACGAGTACACACACTTTTGCGGAGAATGGTGTCGGGCACCGTCTTCTTTTTTGAAACGAATCTAAAATTTTAATACAACGCAATGAGTGGTATGTATAAAACTGAATAGATGTTGCTACTCGAAGTACGAACTACCAACTTGAGTATTAGCGAGTATTTGCTTTTATATATACCTGAGCATGTACGGACAGTCAATGCTCAGGTATGTAACAAAAAATAAAAAAATTGAAAAATCAAAAATCTAAAAATCGAAAAGTCCGCAAACTTAGAAATCGAAAAATTAAGGAATTGAAAAACTGAAAAATCGAAACTTCAAAATACAGAAAAATCTATAATTTTAAACGTAACATAGGAAAATTGAGACATCAAAAAATCGAAAATTTGAAGAATTGAAAAATTGAAGAATCGAAAATTTGAAATATCCTAACAGTAAAATTTCGGAAAATTCAGTAACCGAAAAACTGAATATCGGGAAATTGAAAAATCCAAAAATTGAGGCGCAGTTTTTAATATCATTTTTATGAAATGATGCAACGTATGTGATATACAAGTATAGCTCTCATATATATTGATCTACGTATTTTAGATGTTTATTTACCGTCAATTCTATATATCTATAATGTAATCATCTACAATTCTTTAATAGATAAATAATAAAAATATATATATTATATATATATATATCTATATCGACTGAAATTTTACAATTTTGTGTTAGAAATTTTGGTAAGACTCTAATATTTACTTAGAAAGCAAAGTATAAGACCGATTAAAATTTATTCGTCACCTCTAGAAAGTATATGAAGTCGTCTCAAAAACGCAATGTCGTTTCTTATTTATAGAACTTTTTAGAGATTGATTATATATATGTCCCCACTAGAAGCTGATGACCTCTACTTGTATTGAAATTATCGCTATTATCGCAGAACTTAAACGTTGTCATAAGATTGTTGAGATATTAACTAACATTGTTTCATTAATCGTAAACCATGTTTAAAGTTGTCTTTGTTCATCTTTATCCTGTCAATCCGGTCTTAAAAAATGGACAATCGTACATTCCGGGCAGACATAGATTTTTTTTTAATTTTAGTAAGTTTGTTAACAGCATTTTTGTAGACTATATAACTATTATTTTATTAATAACATAATAAAAATGTTATGTATGTTACGTTCAATTTATAAAAATTCTTCATTAAGTGCTTACACAAAGTGCGAAATAAAAAAATTCTGGAGTTTGCAAGTCGTCATTTTTTATTTATTTTCCCATTTTCGTCTGTTTGCAATTTTATTAGACAGTTAATCCCGAAACTACCAATTAAAAATTGGCTTTCGCATATTTACGCAACTTTTGTGACTTTTAGTTAGCCTTGACTTGAAAAAAAAGGACATCCAACATATTTCACAATGTATCGTATCATAAAGTAACCCATGCAATAATAACACGATTACACAACTTTCATCCAGATCTTTACTTACATTTACAGAGTACGTCCACGTCCTTCTTCCTTCACCCCACAACTAAAAAACTTGTCGAATTGTTTTACAACGCAACATCAAGTGGCACCGAACTCCCACGAAACACTTTCGGTAAAAGTCGTCATCCAATCAGCACTCCGGGCGACGCGTTGGTTAAAAACTGGTGAGTTCCCCGTCAGCGAACTACGAATAAAACGAGAACGAACGGGGGGTTACATCCTGCAAATCTGACATCACCTAATTAATTTGGGAAAGCGATATATATATTTTTTGCCTAAAATCCGCTCTTTAGTAATACTTTAAAAACTTTTTTCCCTTATCTCACACAAACATACTTATTGTTTTCTTGATTATAATCTGCCAATTGGACTTTGAAATGAGTGAATATAATACAGAAATTGAACGACTCATATTTGGTTGCATACTTTAACTTGAAGGAGAAAATATAAAAGTACCAAATTGTCGATGGACTCCATTACTGTACGTCCTTAGGTTATCCTCGATAAGAAAAATTACTTGAAAGTGTTTATGTTTATACATCGGAAGAATATCACGTAGAAATTAGTCTGATTTTAATGAGTTCGCCCCTCAAAAGAGTGGAGCAAATGCAAAACTATTAAGTAGTAAGCTACAATCGACAAAGTGTTCTGAATATCATTATTACAATTCTTATTAAATAAAGACCTCTGTATTTTCACATTTTCGTGAAAATGGGGTGACTCGTTCTTAATTTCATCAATAAAAAATATGAACGCCATGATGAATCACAAATAATTGTTTGTTTTTTGTAGTTCCTGATTAAATCAATGAAATAAATTCACGCATTGATTAATTTTTTTGAGTCAGCCTATATATGCAAATCCAAAAAATATTAATGGAATGATAAATCACAAGAAAAGAATCATATTTTGTACACTTTAGATAGGATTTATTCAGCAAAATTTTGGGGTGGCGTCATCAATTTTTTAGGGGGGAAGAGCAAATATATTTTGATCAAAAATTTACCAAGCTTATAACTTTAAAACATCTTCACGATTTCAAAGCATTCAGTTTTGTAGTAGCTGAGTAAATCAATAAAATAAATTTACGCATTCATTAATTGTTTGAGTCACCCTGTATATGCTAATCCAAAAAATATGAATCGAATGATAAATTACAAGTACATGCTCATCATATTTTGTACATTTTAGGTACAAAATTTTGAGCTGACGTCATCAATTTTTTGGAGGGGATATGCAAATATATTTTGACTAAAAATTTACTATACTCGATATAACCTTAAAACATCTGCAAGATTTCAAAGCATTGCAAAATGTTTTATAATTTTAATTTTTTTTCCAAAAATCTGACGTTTCGGGTAAAAACTCAATTCGGAATCATAGACTACATGTGTAGGACTATGTTATTTTATACAATTTAAAACCTATTTACGTTCCCAATATAAATACAAAATTCGACAACAATCGGCCCAGTACTTTCGGCGATTATTATCTGTCTAATAAAAATCGGTACGACAGACAGACAGATGGAAACGGGAGACCTATTTTTTCGTTCTGTAGGGGTCATGCAAGATCGAGGAAACGTAAAAGTAGAGACTGAGGGCCTTAACATGGGCGATCAAAACGGGGGATTTAGGAGGACCATTTTTCTTAGAAGCTTTTTAAGAGATAAGATTATTTTTTTTATAATACCTATTGATTGTTTTATTGCATCTCTATCAAAATGGCTTTATAGTCTACATATACCACAATAACAGTGACCAAAGTTATTTTCATTGCAAGTTTCAATTGTGTAACAATTATTATTTTTTGTTCTAATTAAACATGGCAACCGTAAGTTATTGGTGCTCTATACATTTTATAATAAATGATTTGTAATTGCATTTCTAGATTTCGCGAATAACAAATATCGATGAACAATGTGAAACACCTGAAAATTCTTCGCAGATAAGTTTTAATTTTAGTTTAATATTTTAGTGTGGGTGGTAAATACAGCAGGATCAACAAATACTGTTTAAGTTGGCAATAGAATTAACAAATTCTGAGGGAACTTTCTTATTAGGCTGCTATTGCCAAATGCTTGGCGCTATGTCACTTTTAAGCGCTGAAGACAGTTTAGTTATGACTAGAGAGCGGAAAATATGCAGCAAAATTTTGAGAATGATGATTATTAACATATTATTAATATATTTGCATATATATATGCAGAGATATGCGGTTGCATATGCTCCAAAAATTAAAAAAAAAACGTTACTAACCGAACTAAATTTATTTACAAATTACAAAAACAGGTTTCTCAAGCTAACGTTTTATTACAAAATATACATAAATAACATTTTTAAAGATATTATTCTTATACTAAAAAATAAATATAAACAGAACAAATTAAAAAATAGTAGCAATCGACTATTTAATTACTATTTTGGTAACAATTTATTTTTAGATACTTTTCGAAATATGATTCCATCTATCATTAATTACGCATACGTAACGTTTTAGGGTCGAAAGTGACATTCACTTCCATCTCTTGGGTGGAAAGTGACAGATAAGTGACATATGTCACTTTCCACCCTTGAGATTGAGGTGAATTAGGTAATAGCACACTTCCAAACTTGTTTAATCCAAAAATTCATTTGAGTTATGGTCGATATATTGACACGTGTATCGCTTTAAATGCTTCCACTGAAAACTCACGATGAAAATTAACAAGATAACGTTGCTTCCACCACCATAAAACATAGCATTATTACACTTAAATAACGAACAAAAATATTGGGAATGAACAGTATTTCCATTCCAAAAGTAATTAGGGGCTGAATTTACCTGGAAGGACGGTTTAACTCCGGAGAATATTTACAATATAATTCATGAAATTTCGTATTTCTAGATTAGGGTTACGTGAAATATTTTTTTATAGCTATATATATTTCTAACTAGCATAATTCGTGCAAATGTTATTACATATCAAGACTTATATTCAAACTACAACGGATATGCAAATTTCATAAAAACGGCTCTCTAGTTATGATATTTTAATGATAATTAATCGATAACAAATTTTGACGTAAATAAAATTCAAGCAAAATTAATTGGTACCCACTTAAATGTACTTGTTGATCACGCTGTATTATCTGATCATTCCCAACAACAATTTAATTAATAATTTCTATATGTATGTTTTATTCATCCACACAATGAAAGTAAGATCTATTAAAAATGTTAAAAATTGCATTTTAGTACGAAGTAGTTAAATGATTAATGGTTTATGAGTGGATTAAACCTTTTGCATTAAACTGCGTCACACGGTAACAATTTTCCTAGATTATTGTTTAAATAAGATAAATGAAATTTTAGAAAGTTGGCCCAAAAGTATTTCAACACAACTTTCTCCAATCCTAAGGTACAAATCATTCTGAATGCATATTCGATAGTATTTTTACTTCCCGAGAGTAAGTGAAGGAGGTATTGTAATCGAGTCCATCGGACGAATGGCCACTTTTATGATTTCTCGACGTTTCATGACCCCTACGATACGAAAAAAGCAGTCTCCTGCTTCCATTCGTCTGTCTGTCTGTATCCATTTTTATTAGACACGTAATCTCTGGTGAACTGATTGCTGTCAAATTTTGTATGTATACATATTAGAAATATCACGTGGATAATCAAATTCAGAACCTCATTTTCTAGAAAATGTGAGAATACCCACGTCCTTATTTAATTATGATCAAATGAGAATAATAATTTTCAAGACATTTTGTTCCTTTGTGTCTTGTTTAATAATTTTAGTGTTTTGTTTACAGGAGACAACTCATTCAAATTAAACAAATTTCTACGTGACATTGTTTCGATGTATAAACATAAACAATCGAAGTTAAGCATGTACATTGATAATAATACACCCTTTTCCGTTGGTTATTTGCCACTGGTTTTTACTACACCTATGTATAAAAGTTATCAGAACACACAAACTTACTATAATTTTTCAAAGAAGCGCAATTTGTTTAGATTGTACTCAAAGAACGAGGGAAGTTTTGTCGAAGTAACCTTAGACCAATTTTTCTTCAATAAAAATATGTTTGTTAGCTAACTAGGTAGACCCAACTTCTTTATTTTTTGGTTGATTAGTAAATTTGGTAAAAATGTTTTGAAAGAATTAACATCTGTCAACAATTTTCGTCAACTTTCTTTCGATATGACTGCATGGCAGAGCAACTTTGTGTACATTTTCCAATCAACAACCGAAGTCCCATTATTTCAACAAAATCGTCTGTGGTAAAGTGGCCGTTATCTTAGCAGGGTTCTATCAATTATTTCAATTAAACATCCTTTTGACCTTCGTTACGATTTCTTCATACAACGGTAAAGAATGTAATATTCTCAATTGCTCAGTACATGTATAACTTCAACTCTTTATGTGTATACTTCGAAAGAATTCAAATATTGGCACGTTCAAATTTCAAGCATAAGAGGTTAAAAGAAAATGAAATTTGATTGATTTTGACTCTTCAGTGCACAGGAGAAGATTGATTAATAATTAACTACACTTGTTAGGTTTAATTTATAGAATATTTTAATTGAGATTAAGTAAAGAACTAAACTACCATATCTATGTTTTCTTCTAACAGACTTTTTGCAACATCAAGATGGCACATATCTAGTGAAAAACATGTTAATATTTGCCCTCACTCAAATTTTATTTGACAACTGAAATTGAATTTGGGTTGGGTTAAAACTACACATTAAAGCTGCTCTAACTGAGAAAGTAGAAATAATGTACAGCGTGTTTATGAAAAATGTTTCAATCATTTTAACTGCATTTTAACAATATTTCAAAATGGTTGTCGATGCATTAGACCATGGTCATCATGATGAGTTTGATTACGTCACCTACTTCGACAACCATTATGGATTAAATAATGTTTTTTTAATTGGACCTCTTAATTTATTAAATATTGTTTTCAGAAATTTAAGAAGGGAAGTGGTACCACTGATCTAGGCAAAGCATACGAACACCTCTACATAGCTAACTTAATTTTAAAATTAATAATTGACGATGACGTGGAAAATTTTAATTTGTCGTCAAACGATAGTGTATATGGTTCTTTCGACGACGTTGTAGTCGAATTTAAATTCAAAGATCGGACCGAAACCTTTGCTATTCAGTTGAAACACGTAAGCAGAACAGGAGGAATACAAATTGAGCAGTTAAACCAATCGAGTGGAAACTTTAGCGTCGAGAAGTATTACAAAGACTTCAAAAAAGAGCCAAAGTTGTCTGAACGTCCTACCAAGATGGTTTTGTGTACCAATTCTAAGCTAAACGATGAACACATAGATCGGTTTAAATTTGGCAAATTGACGCCATGTAAACAAGACGGTTTGCTAAGCACTCGTACTTCAGAGTTGGGAGGACAGTGTTACAGATTCGAAGAAAACAAAGATGAATTCAAAGTATATGGATCTTTTTTAAAAAACTTGTATCTCTATGCCAATCAAACTGATGTCAAAGAACTAGGAACGTGCACACTTGATATGTTCAAAAAATATTTCAAAAGCAATGAAACAGTTTTCCGAGAGTATCTACATTTTATGGAATAATGGAGTATGAAGGAAAGGAACAAAATCAAATTGAATAAAACGTGGATGAAACAAATGATAACCCTTTGTGTATTATCACCTTTTATCAGACCGCTATCTTTTGTTGCCGGTGGAGCAAGGAACACCAGAAGAAAAATTTTTCGAGAAGCGGTTTCGAAATTTGATTTGATTGTTATAAACAAAAGCAGTTTCAAGAAAATCAACTCAGTTTGGTCAAATGCTGTCGATGATATAGCTGATGTGCAAGAAGCGATTGAAATGAATGACAACTACCAACTTATCGAAAACAAAATAGAAACAAAAGATAGTCTCTATGATAAAGACGCAACAAAAGTATCGAAGCTCATGTGGTTGTTGGGAAAAAGTCCGTTAGTCGTTAAAGGATCCCCACAAGTTTATCAAGCAGTCAAAATATGCCAAGCTAAAAATCTAATTATACTAGATAATCGACAAACGTTTAATGAGACGACTAGTACTGACTCCGAACAAGACAGTACAGGTGGCCAGCATAAACCACAATTGTTTCAAAAGTTGTCTGATTTAAAAAAACACGTACAGTTGTATGAAGAAATTCTAACGAATTTTACATATTCATTGCAAGGTCAAAAAGACGTTGCATTGAAATATTTGCTGGAAATTTGCGAAGATAGCGGCAACTTCATCACTGCAGATGATTTAGTTGAAATGATGGAAGCTCCATTGCTGTTTGGAAAACACAAAGATGTTCTGCCGCCCAGTCATATCGAAAGAAAATTGACGAAAATTTTAATAGATGTTAAATATTTGCAAAACACTAGTGAAAATACAATTGTTTTAGTTGATTGCGTAGCAGATGTGAAATAATCTTTCAAACAATTTTTACCAAATTTAGTTATCAGCAAGGTGAATGACGTTGAGATCACTCGGAAAACAATTCATCTAGAGAAGATATGTGTTTGTGGAAAGGAAGTTTCACAGGAAATATTTTCTACATTGTGTAAAAATAATTCAGAAATTCAGTTCCATCACTTCAGATATTTAGACAATCATCGTTTGGAGTGGATGGAAAGTGGGAATTATGGCTCGGAACGAAAATATATCAACGAACTTGAGAGGTTTCGTTTACAAAGCGAATTTATGGAGTACACTATCGGCGAGGGTCAGTACTTTAGTCAATCCCCACAAAATATCAACATTATCTGCGCCGATGCTGGAATGGGAAAAAGCACATTAGCGAAGAGCTTAAAAAATAGTAG